GCCTGGCAGACCCATGAAGTATCCCTACACCTTATCGGCTAAAATAGCCCAGTTCCCTTATAAATTTTATTTCAACAATAATTGGATGTGGAAATATTATATAATCGCCATCGGAGTCAGCTTCCCATTATTCTATAAACTTTCAAGAGCTAGTAAGTATCATTAATATATGTATGTATATATATACTATTTATAATGAGATCTTGTTTTACCCCTCAAAGTAATATCAAATCAATAAAAAATTAATATTTATTTTTAATTGTGGGTAAATGGGTTTGACTGCCGTGAATAATGAAGAGAAGAATAGTTGGGGTGATCAGTCAAATAAGAAATTCTTTATTATTTATTTTATATGCCAATATTTTTGTAGGTTGTAGGTTGTATATATATATCTTCAATACATTTCAATTCTATGATAAAATAATGCTGCTGAGAACAAAGAAGATTTTTAATATTATCAATGTAAGACATCTAACTGGAAAACATATTTTCCAACCTACAAAAATATTGGCATATAAAATAAATAATAAAGAATTTCTTATTTGACTGATAACCCCAACTATTCTTCTCTTCATTATTCACGGCAGTCAAACCCATTTACCCACAATTAAAAATAAATAATAATTTTTTATTGATTTGAAATTACTTTGAGGGGGTGAAACAAGATCTCATTATAAATAGCTCAGTAAAATTAGGGATTGACCCCAACATTAAAAAAATAAAGATGAAGCTTGTCTGAAATTGTTTATTACCCTCCCTATAATTGGTAAGTCCCAAAGAATCCTGTGTCGATTCCCAAAGAGTCCCACGGCTGTGATGGGGTGAGGAAGTGACAGAAAAATCATATTATAAATATATAAAATTATAAAGAATATCTCAAAAACTATAATATTTTTTTTTTCTCGCAAAGATTGTTCAGTATAATATTAAAGTACTTTGAAATCTATAAAAATGGACCTTTATTTGTATTGTATTTCCACTTTAAGCAAAAATTGCTTCAAACCACATAATTGATGTTGTTAAAGTTTAAATTGACATTAATTTCATATAATAGATAATATGTGATAGAAGACATTAAAACTTATTTTATATAGAAAACTAAAAAAAACTTAAATTTTCTAATTTTTAAGCCAACCACGTTTTATGTTGAATAAAAAGCAATAACTAAAAAATGTTTAATTTAGGTTATAACCTATTAATTACTTCATAGTAAACTAGATTGAATTTAAAATAAATAAAAGTAAATCTTGTCTATTTAAAACCATTTAAAGGGGACTTTTATGCAGTTAAACTGCAGTAAGTTCGGTTTTTCATAAAATCAAGGATTCTTCACTATTTTTTTTTATAAACTCTAAAAAAATTAGGGATCAATGCCAATATTTTTACATCTTTTAACTCAATTAGGGATGTTGTTTTTGCATTTTGCATCCATACTAGCCAACGGCCAATAGAACAAGACGGGCTGGGCGCGGGAATGGGGGGTTGTGCCCTTCCCTCCACTACGTCTAACTCTTAACGTATTTTTTGAATTTTAATATTAGATAAATAAAAATCATAATATTTTAAAATTTTATCTTTACGAATTTCTCGAAAACAGCTCTAACGATGATTTTGAATAAATTTGTTATACTAATGTAAAATTAAGTTATTTTTAATATCAAATGTCTTGTCCTCATTCCAATAGTCTGAAGACTTAAATGCCGAATTTTGTAAAATTCTCCCTGTAGAGCACGTTTATTAATATGGTTTATTTGAACTAATTAACAGTATATTGTTAACTAATTAATTAACAGTATATTGTGCCTATTAATAATAAGAAATGACAAAATATAAACTATGAAGGAATTAGATAATAAAAGAAGAAACATTTTCCCTGCTTAAAAACAAATTTATGAAATAAGAGTTATCGGAAACCCAAATAGTTAAGTAAAATTTATATGTTTCTTATAAATTCATAAAAAGTAGTGTAATCACAACTTTTAACTACTATTTTCTGAAAACTATTATTATTTAATGAAAACAATGAAATTTCGAAACTAAGTGAAAACTTTTACAATTAATTTTAAGTTTTATTAGGGTCATGCATTTAGTAAAATATATATATATTTTAATGACATTTCCTACTTGATTGAATATTTTTTTTCAATTATTTAATTTGTTCTTTTTAGGTAATACACCAGAGAATATTAAGGTATGGGAAGAAATCAGGAAAAGGGATTTCGCTCCAGGTGGACATCATTAAAAGAATTCTGTATAATTGTTTAGTAATTTCCGAGTACCATGTATCACTGTCTCTTAACCTCTCATGTACTAAATTTAAATGAATAAGTAAATATATGGTTACATTTGTAGTATTTTGTTAAGTTTTCCTTTCATGTTTATTTATTTATAAATTTGTCATTCACACTGCCTAGCTTAGTAAAGTCAGTGCCTGGATAAATGAATATATTTAAAAATTAAATTAACTTGTCATAACCTAATGTATGCTTTAAATAATAAACCGTATTAAGGTACTATTTCGCTGGTGCGGCCCACGTCATTAACCGCTATTCCACGCTGCCAATCGCTGTGGGCGTAGCTATTTCGCTGAAACTGCTCACTGGGGTTGTTATAACCTGCCTATAACCTTCAAACATTTCGCTTTATCTTCGAAGATAAAAAAAATGGACATCCTTTCTCTGACTACCGCTTTTTTATTTGAGGAGAAAGAAGAAGAAGATGTTGTTCATAAGGAGAAGGAATATCAGTATTTCAATGAGATGCTCATCATCAAATCCCTTCTTGGACATTGTTTGCTATTGTCTAGATGAACAACTAAAACCGGAGAAACAACCAAAAAAGAACCAAAACGCGGTACTAACAACAATAGTCCCTCTGGTATTAGTTTGAAAAGTAATAATAATTATTACATAATTCATTAGTAATAAATATCATATATTTGTAATTAAATAACAGTAGGTGATGTTTTATTAATGGCAATCAGTTAATTCCCACTTTAATTAAAAAATAAAAATCTATTTTTCAATGAGTGGATTTTAGTATTTAGCTGACGTTAAAATTTGTTGGATTCTTTAATTTATTTAATATCGTTTGGATTTAGGTATATTTGAATTTCGCTGTAAAATATTGTTGGTGAAATAAATAATCTTGTTACTTCATCCTTAAAAAAATAATTTACTATTGCATTGTTTAAGTTTATACAATATTTCTTATAATCTTGTCAGACTTGAAAGAAACATAGGAAATAAAACGTGACTGTTATCATCAAAACAATGCTCTAATATGATACCATAACCTACAACTCCACTGCTTCGAGAGCGGTCAGATAGGAGCAGCTTAGATATGATGTCATACTCAGACTGCCGAGCAGCACCAGCGAAATAGGTTCCTTTCTATTCCACTGAAGTAATGGTCAACCGCAAGCAGTCACGGTCGTGGGCCGCGCCAGTGAAATAGTACCTTTAGGTTCTTCTAGCTCATATAAGAGATAGAAATATGATTCTAAACAAAAATTATCATTAAACATAGAGATTGATCTATAAATCGAAATTATAAAGTCACGAGTCTCTACATACAGATTAGGCAGGTCTCTACTTATTATACAACATATAAGTTAACTTGCCCAAAGTTTCGTCAATTCAGGCATAACATTTTAGTATTTTTGCTTGTTTTAGTAATATTTATGGAATAGCCGTGTATCCACTGGGTTTGTTTTGTTGGGAATGGCTGTTATATATGTCTTTGAGCTTTTCAATGTTATCTTCCTTAGCTGTATTAATATAATAGAACAATCTATTTCCTTCAGTATGTATTTGTATGGATGGCTTCCTGAGATGTCCATAGGAATTTTTTATTTTGTTTTTTTTTCTGCATATTTGTGATCTTGTTTTTTCTGTCTTGATAATGCCTGAATTGGTTAAATCCAATTGGCCAAGATCATCTCTAACCATCTAGTTTTCCTCTTAATTGTTTAATTAAGAGGAGCCAGTTTTTAGAGACTGGATGTGCCTGAGGAAGGTCTCTCGATCCCAGAATCGATCTGCGGCCAACGAAACAGAATAAATAATTTATTTGTCATCAGCTCAAACGTGAAACCTTCAGGACTAAAAGCAGAAAATTATTTATTATAGTTTTATATAATTTTTTTTTTCTAGATTATGTCATAAAAATAAGTTCTCTAGTTATCTCATCAATCGTTTACTTGTTTTAACATTCTTAGCGCACACTCCACTAAGGGTATAAACACTTTAAACACAATAAATCTTTTTATTTTTTACATAAATTAGGCCAATCATCACCAACCATTTTATTGATACGCTATTTAATTCGATACAGTCCCTCCAGAAATGACGTATGTGAAAATCCTATAGACCATGACAATTTAATGTTCACTGAACATATTAGTTGCGACATTAATTATGAATATATAATCGAGGACTCGTCAAGACTTGAAAATGACCCTTAGTATGGTCGAAACGTCGAATTCAATAGAGTATCAATAAAATGTTTAGTGATAATTGGCCTAATTTATGTAAAAAATAAAACCTTAAGACACCAAAATTAGAATAAATGAACAGAAGGAACAATAAATCTTTTTAAAATCAGATAGATTTCTTTAGTCTTAATTTATAGAATAATAATACTTTGAAGTTAACATTTTATTTCTAAAGTTAATTAAATTGAAATGACAATTCACATGATGATAAATCAAAATAACAAATCTTTAATGTATTGAATTATTATAAAACTCGGACAAAACTAGATGGTATATAATTTATTAACTCGTACTTCCACAATACAACTTAAAGTTTTTAAATATATATTAGTTTTGTAACATTCCATGTCAACTAAAAATATAAATACAAAATAACAGATTTAAGTTCTTTCATTCTGAAATAATGAACCCAGGTATATGCAAAGAGAAATTTAAAAAGTGTTTTCAAAACAAAGAGACGTTTCCATTTAAAAATAAGTTATACACAAAACTTTAACAATCTATACACATCTAAAATCAAAGTAAGAAATTTAAACACATAGCCTTTTTCTTATAATCATGTTAAAAACTATTATTATTGACTAGGAAGATATATTTTAAGAAATAATAATTTACTTATAAAATAACAGTACTACTTAAAAAATACTATTAAAATCAATATTTCTCCAATTATATCTGATATTCTTTGGCATTATCAAGTTTGGTCCACTTCACACTCACGGCCCAAAGCCACCTTGCGAGGGGTTCGTCGTGCGCTTCTTGACTTGTTTTGGCTTCCATACAATTCCTAAAAAAAAAAATTCTTAGTTCCGATTAGATGGAAGCATTTACAATCAAGAATATATAATTAATACTCCTTACGCAAAGTATTTTCCAGTAACTCCTTCCAAATCAGGAGAGAGAGCAGCGTACAAAGTTGTTTGAGCTCCTTGTACAGGATTTTTCAAAAATATCCTCAGAATTGGTTTAAGGAATAAAGACGAAACTGTGGAATTGAAAAAGCTCATGTGCCTAGTGATTTCTGTTTCGACAATCCCAGGGTGAACAGAATTAACATATACGCCTGTTCCTGTAAAAAAATAATGTACATGAGATTCAAGAATGTTAAAATTAAAAGTAAGATTTTAAAATCTTAGCTTTTTCTAATACTTTTTTTTTTAAGTGTAAACTTCTTATGCATCTTGCACTTTTTTTGTGGAGTGTATTAGATTGAGTTGTCAGATTTCCGATGTGTAACGCTCGGGTAAAGTTGTCTGGAGTTGACTAATTAAAGTGTTTTTGCAAATGGATTAAAATATCTCAGAAAATAAAAATCGGACCTCCACACTATAAGCAAGGGCATTGTTCAGCATTTCATCCTCTCTGTAATGGACTACTATAGAACATTGTATCTTAACGCGATGCCATGTTAGAGAGGTGGAAAAGGAAAAATAATGTCGAAAACCAAATCATAATGAGTTTGATTGAAGATATGAAAACTAAAAATCGGACTTGTATACTGTAAGTAAGGGAAATGTTCAACATTTCATCCTCTTTATAATGAGCTATTATTTATAATTTATATTTCATATTATTAATCTTGCCTAGTTAATGTTTTCACTTCTATTGTGTGGTCCAAAGCACACACCTTAGTTTTTTTTTTGTTTTTTTACTAATTTTATTTTTCTAATACTTTTATCGAACAGTTATAGTATAAAGATTTTCAAAATTAAACGTCTCACTATTATCACTGATGCGACACTGTGGTTTTATGTAGAACTCTATTATCAAAAGCCAACAGGTTATGGTCATTTATATAAATAACAATAATCATTTGGACAGCATTTAGAATAAAATAAGAATCACTATTACCACTGATGCAACACTGTGGTTTTATGTAGAACTCTGTTATAAAAAACCAACAGGTTATGTTCATTTATATAAATAACAATAATTATTTGGACAGCATTTAAAATAAAACAAGCAATTCCACATTCTGCTTGCTTAGAGTTAACACAAGTTAATGGTCTTAAAAGTCTAGAACTTTTCACATAACTTTTATCTGTCACAAATTTTATTTTATTCCACTATTTATCTAACCCAAATATATTTTACATTTTATTTTTGCCTGACATATTGTGACAATATTAATGTTTATTTAAAATCTTCTTGTATACAACAACCTAACACAGTGTACAACAATCTAAAATACACTACACAGAAATTTCATATGATAATGGACAGTATGGCAATGATAAATTAAATTAAAAAGCATGAGTTGTAAAATATAAAATAATAAGATGTGGTAACATTGTGATAAGGTAACATCACATTATAAAGGAATGAATAATGATAAGAAAGGCATGAAAAGGATGTGGTGAAATGAGGACATAAATGATAATTAGAATAAAACGTACTGAAACACATTGGGATTATAAAGATTTATTTTGATTTATCAACCATGATTTAAATTTAGAAACATTGCTGTTCTGTTATATTAATAAATTTATCAAAAATTAACTTCATTGTGATTTGGTTCTTTTTTCAAAATTGATACATCGCATTCCATCTATTAGCAATATTTATTTCAAATTTTGGTTTTCCATTGAATACACCTGAACCAATTGATTATTTTTTCTAGCAATAGTATGCACTAATACCATTCAGAACTAACTATCTTATTTTTGCATATTTTGTGGAAATGTTACCTTCTACCTAATGCCGTCTAATTTTTAGTTTAGTTTCATTATTTGTTTAAAATCCAATTATTTATAAATGCTATCTTATTTGTTAATAATTAATTTTATCGATAACTACAATTTTTACTTATTTTTTAAAAATATTAAACTCCATTTTCAACTGGTTTTAAAATTCTGTCAAGTAAAAACATAAATATAGGATGGTACGCATAGTTGTTCTTGTAACTTCATCTGTACTTTCCTTAAAAAAACATTATAAACTCAATGAAAAAGTAATACTTTCAGCCAATATGATCATCGAAAAGCTTCTATGAAAGAATAATGTTATTGTAAATTGAAACAATCTGGTTATCTCTTTTAATTACTCGATGCTCAATTGATATTTTTCTCCCAATGTTTAAGGGAAACTTTAAATTGGCTGATATTATGAGTTTAATAAAAGTATTCCTTTTTGATGGAACCTTAAAATGGAGTTAGAGGAATGATTAACACCTTGGCTGCGTACGGGATATCTGCCTTCCTGTCACTTCTAGCAGTAAGGGAAAACCTGTGGCACCGTTCGCCTTGTGGCTTGGTTCGTGCATTCATTTGTCCTCTGGAACTCACTCATTTCGGTCGTTCCACTATCTGACTATATGCTAGAAGCTATCAGTTGCAGATTTATTCTGAACCCAAAATTACATAAAAAGGTTTTAAATGCATTTTTGAAAGTTTATATCTTTCAGAATGACTCAAATAATGTTTTTAACAAATTTAAGTGGGGAAGAGGAATCCGTTTTTCTGAATGTTTTTTTGGATTTTGGCACCGCTATCGGAAAGAAACACTCGTTAGCAGACTACCTTAAATCTAGGTTTTTATATTAGGTGGTCAGCATCACCCATAGTCCTTTCTATCAACCACATTAAGGAAAAAGATGAGATTACTGTTGTAATAGACCAATACTTGTCTTCACAGTATGGTTATTTAACTCAAATATTTTTGAAAAAATAAATACATTAAGATAAGTATAGCTTATGTACCTTCAAGTTTTCTAGCGAGTTCATTTGTGAACAGAATATTCGCCAGCTTACTTTGAGCGTATGCAGTTCCTCCATCATAATTCTTTTCACTATTAAGATCTTCTTTATTGATTCTGCCCCTAAAATGAGCGATACTTGATACGTTGATAATTCTACTTGGGGCACTTTTCTATTAACATTTACACAGTTTATAAAAATAATAATATTGTAAGTTTAAATATATAATAACTATTAAGTGTCAGTACATACTTTTAACACATCGAGTAGCAACATGGTTAACAGAAAATGCCCCATGTGATTCACTCCTAACTGCATTTCAATTCCTTCCTTTGTTTTCAGTGGTGGACATCTCATTACTCCAGCATTATTTATTAAAATATGAAGTCTATTTTCCTCTAAAAAATAATAACACTTTTCCATTGTTATCGTAAATAGCTTAACTATTGAATGTTTCATTCTTAAATGATTTTAAAGTTGATAATTACCTTTTTTGAAAATTTCAACAAAGTTTCTAATCGACTCTTGAGAAGAAAGATCACATTTTCTGCAATATATATATTTATTGTTCGTTTCCAAAACAATTTCCTCTCTTGCCTAGGCATAAATATAAAATATAACAGCTAGTTTTATCAAGAACCTCATGAAATTAGGAATATCAAGTCACCTTTTCACAGAGTTTGAGATCCCTACAAGCCATTATTATTTTCCCTTTACGCTTGGCTAATTCCCTAACAGTTTCTTTCCCGATCCCAGTGTTCGCTCCAGTTACAATAACAACTTTGTTCTCAATCAGGTTGGGTTCTTCATATTTATTTCCAGCACAATAGTCTCTGAAATTTTGCGAAAATTAATTTTCAATAAACTATATTTAAAATTACAAGCATAAGGCATAGCCAACGAGTTGCCCATCAAGCAATTTTATATTTCTATTGAAACTTTTATTTCTTGTATGTACACAAAAATATATAATATATGAGAACTCTCATAATACATATATATCCTTCTTTTCCCTAATACATGAATATTATAAGAAAACATGTTTATTCCTACAAACAATACATTATTAGGTAAATCTGTTCAAAATGCACAATTAGTGAAGCTAGATATAATGATTGATGGAGTAACAGTTTACTTCATAAGTAATTAGTCTCAACTATCGATAAATTTAGTACTCGACATGCTGAATGGCAGGATATGTATCTATCTATGATATGTAATTTTCTTACTAATGATCTATAGAATATAGAAGCCAGACCTACGAACTTCATTAAAAATAACAATGAAGAAAATTGAAATATATCCTCTAAATGTGTTTATTTCTTTTTATATTATCAGCAAACAAGATATCTGAGTGAGTAAGGTACTATACTTGTATGTTCTGGATTCTGGCTGTAGCAGTTAATTATTTATTCTGTTAAATCAGGCCTGGATCCAGTAAGTGCTTGGGAGACCCATCAACCCTGCGGTACACCCAACCTCTATAAAGCGGGTACTATTAATTAGTGGAAAGAACCTGACAGTTGATCTTGATCTTACTCCTATCACGTACTTGCACAGCTGTCGACTAAGAAACGGTACTGCAAATAAAGTACTGGACCCAAGATCTTTTTTTTTACTGTATTATCAAAGAAGTCCAAGAGGCCTCAGAACTATTCTCTTAAGTCTATCTTTTAATAGATATTTCAGACTGTAATAAATAGCGATATTTCAATTTATGTAGACTTAAAAAAAATGTGATAAATATTCTATAGAATCTAGAAGGCTGTCACATTTGTAGTAAGAATTTCATGATCATAACTGTTGATTTGTGACTTATTCTCTTTCATTTGATTCCTTGTTTGACAAAATTAATCACTCCTGAGAGCGGAAAAAGGGATCTATAGAGCTGAATTATGTATATAGTAGATTCACATCCATCATAGTTATAATGCATAAGAGCGATTATGATTTTGATTTATGATTATGATTATGAAATATAGAACAACCAGTTCTATATTTGATATTAAGGCATGACAATTTGTTAATTCCTGGCAAATTTTACTGAATAAAATGTATTAAATTAAAAATAGTTTATAATAGCACTCTGTAATAGTAACACAGGCCTAATTCTCATGTATTACACTATAGATAGAATTCAGAAGGTGGACAAAGGCAACATATCCTCAGATTTTTCTTTTGTTCTTGGAAATATATTATGGCTAGTATTGATGATGAATTGACAAGGACTACTGCTAGGTCGACAAAACATAGTATTTTGCTAAAGATGTACACATTCAATTTTTTTTTTCTTATGGGTAATGGCATGTTTAATAAACCGCTAAATTGTTTAAATTTAGACAACATATCTTATTTATTATTTTGAAAAAAATAAAAACAGTACTTTTATCATAATGATGCAAAATTGCACTGAATAAGACTGAAAAAGGAAAACACCTAATTAAACCTTACTTAATTAAAATAGATGCCCCAACAATAGTTCCTATTGCACTTCCAATAAGAATGGGCTTACTAAACTTCACAACCATTGTCCAATTAATTGCAATGCAATTTAACTTTAATCAACCGCGAATCCCAGTTTGTCAGGTTCTGTTATTCAGTGCTGCAGCAGCGCAGCTTCTTCCAATGAGGTTGGATTAATACGTGTGACAAACTATCATTAATCCAAGAAATTGAATAACAATAAAGAAAGGGAAAAACAGAAATTTCTTAAAAGAGGAATTTATACTTCCTTATCCATATACGTAGATAAATTATACTTTTTAATTTCATAAACGATATTTTATTAGAGACACGATTCAATTTTGAAAAAGACCGGGACTATAAATGAATATGTAAAAAATCAGTCGCCTGAACCAACATTGATAAAACTTGTTTATTCATTTGATTTAAACATCTCAATGTACTCAAACTTAGAGGTGAAAGAACCAACATTTCCTAATCAAAGTATGAAAATCTAGTATCTTCACATAGGTCATGATAAATCAGTAGCGTAAAAGACGTTTCGGCCCATTTTGCTGGTCTTCATCATTGATAAATTGAACAAGACACGCAAAACAACGAAGGAGGCAAAGTTTTTTCTTGTAAATCTCCTCACAATTCTCATATCTTTCTTCATTATTCACACTATCAACGATTAAATATCCAATACTGTAATAATGATTTTTCTAAATGTTTTTTTTTTATTATATAATAATTAAAAGGTAAAGAGGATAAAGATGATAAGTGGCACTATGAGGAAAATGGACTTGCTGCTAAAAACAATGGCGCAAAGTAATATATTTTTAATATTCCCTCTTTCCATACACATAAATTCAAAATTTGGTTCTAAAATTCTACCGTATAGTGAACGAAGATTTTTTGGAACTTTAAAGAGTTTTCTAATGATCTTTTGGAAAATTATTAATTATATTTCGATCAATGTTGTCACCTCTATGGAATCTCTTAACTTTTTCTGGGAATAATAACCTTCTGAACAGTTGTTATGGTTTTCAAATCGGTCGTGGTCAAGATAGAAATATTTTAGACCATTAGTTAATATCTAAAGTGTTTAGTCTACTAAATTTTAAACCTGACTTATAGCAATCATTATAGTCTTCATAATGTATTTATCAATCTTGGTATTTTAATTTTTATAGGTTTAAAGTACTTTTAATTGTTAGTTAGATAAAATCCTTAATTATTTTAATTTATTTGAGACTACTCAAAAAATCGGTGTCGTCCACACCATCGTTTTTATCTGAGACTGATTTTCAGTAATGTTATAAAGTGTGATAAAGAAAGTTAGCTTCCTTCCTTTATATTATCACTTTGAGAAACTATGACTGGAGGAAAGTGTAAATCATGTGGTTCCTCCGATTTGGAAGTTGACCCTAGTAGAGGAGACACAGTATGTACAAATTGTGGTACTGTTATTGAAGATAGTGTGATTGTTTCCGAAGTTCAGTTTGAAGAAAATGCCCATGGTGTCAGTAGTGCCATTGGGCAGTTCGTTTCTTCAGATTCCAGTGGTGGTTGCAGAGGATTTGGAAACAGTAAGTAACAACATGTCATATGTGTTTAGGTTTTGTTACGTTATCACCGTTATTTATTTATTAAATATTTTTACAGATTTCCAAACTGGAGGAGTCAGAGAATCTCGAGAATTGACTCTGCAAAATGCCAAAAGGAGTATATCCAGTCTTTGCCAGCAGCTGAGGTAATGTCTTTATTTGTTATTAGATTATCAAATTGTCAAGTAAGTAATGGTGTTGGCATTTTTAGAAAAATTTATGTTGATAAAGTTGTGAAGCAAAATATATATTTTTAATATATTCTCCTTCCATTTACAAAAATAGATTGTTGGTGCAGAATTGATTAGATAAAGGTGTCAAATGATGAGACACATGTCTTTTTATTGGACAATGTTAATTGACAGTCAGTAAATTCAATCCTCATTTACTTAATGGTGGAGGTTTGGGATTGAAAATTTTCAGCTTTATGACATGATTACTTGGATATGGTTCTGATATAAATTTAAAAACATTTTTAGAATTCTCCTTGCTAGGTTTTTAGATGTAAAATGAAAATATTTATTATTGTAGTAGCTAAAAGGTTGTTTTATACTTGTTAAAAAGAAAAAAAAAAAAAAAAAAAAAAACTTATGTCCTAGCATTTGTGCTAAGGAGGACATATAAATTAGCTGTCAATGTTTTTGATTTAATATGTTAATTTGATCAGTTTGTTTGATAGACTTTGTGTTGATCTGGTCTATAACCAGTTGAATAAATTTCATGCATTTAATTTGCTAGTAACAATTTTTATATGAATTGAAATCTGAGTAATGAATCCATTAGTATTTATGACTATCATATTTTTGTATAACACAAAAGTCTATATATTTATTAAGCAGTATAATATAGTTCATTGGAAGGATACTACCTATCATCACTTTAGTTTGTGTCTTTAGCCATACATTTTTTGACAAGTTAAATTATTAATCAGTGTCAGATTTTGGGGTAAGATCATGTCCAGTGGTGCCATACTGGAAGGGTCCCTACCATTTGTTAGGAATTATAAACAATTATATTAGTGTATGAGATAAATAAATCATAAAACAGATTGATAAAGAAATGTAAAACAGTTTTCAAAAATGTTTTTGGAGGAATCAGAGCTTATGAGGTTGTTATCTGTGGGTTTTAAACAACAACAAACCAATCTTCTGATATTTTCTTTAATTTGACACTGCTTATTTTTAATGTTTGTCAGAGTTCAGTATAACCAAATTCTTTATTAAAGTATGGCCGGAGATAATAATACTTCAGCTGAATTATGACAAATAATTGAATAAGTCTTGATAAATAAGAAGTAAGTCTATTTACTTAAAAGAGCAAGTGCAGAGTTAGTAAAAGAAGTTTGTCAATTGTTTAAAAACAAATATATGTTAAGAACGACAGTTTTTCTTAAAGATTTTTGTTAAAGTTTAAATTAACAATTAATATTAATTGAAATTATTAAGTATTTCTTATATAATATATTATGTGTGATTAAAGAACCCTTAAGTAATTGATTATTTATGAAAAACTTTATTGATATATTTTACCGTTTTAGTCCAGCAAAGATTTTACATCTTAGAAGCATAGGCAACAATACATAGAATAAATAAACAAAGGTGGAAAATTAGCATTTTATAAATTAGATGTTTAAAAACTAATTCTCCTGGAAAATATTTTTTTCCGAATATTTGTCCGATATTACTGAACTTTTCATATGTAGAAAAAACTGAAAGATCTTAATTGTGATATTTCTGCTTTTAATCTATCTTTACTTTTATTTATTCTAACATAATGATTTGTCTTTTTAAATTTAAGTACCTTCTTACCATTATATTTTTTAAACCTTTTTTTTTTGTTTCTTTTGTTTTGTAGATTGAACCAGCACTGCTTGGACACTGCATTTAATTTCTACAAAATGGCCTTAAGCAGACATCTGACAAGAGGTAGAAAACATAGTCATATTGTTGCGGCTTGCCTTTACATCACATGCAGAATAGAAGGGACACCTCGTATCCTTAATATTGCTAATATCAAAAATCAAATCAAATATCTCTTAATTATAACTTTTTGTGTTTATATAATATATAATTCTTTTTATTTGGAATATTTGCTTCCAAAAAACAGATGTGGACAAAATTAATTGATCATTAACTTATACACAACTGTATGTTTTAGTATTATCATAGTAGTATTGGGCGCTAGCGGGTCCAGGATTTCATTTTGGGGGAGGAGTTTCAGCCCGAAAGAACTTTTTTTTTTTAAATAAAACGATAATTACTTTAGAAAAAACTAAGTACCTACCCCAAAAGGTGTTTAAATGATTCTTGAAATCCAATAAGTGTAATTACACTAACAGTAATACTTTTAGAGTAATTTCTAATATTTTTTTCTTAAGACACGATAATATTTTACTATTTTGGGGGGGCGTCAGCCCAAAAGCCACCTCTCCTCCCGTAGATCCGCCTGTGTCATTGGGTAATTATGTCCTAGGCTAATTCCATGCATAGTTGAAAGTTTTTGTATTTAATAAATACAGTGATTAACTACTTTAACAACTTCAGTTGAATCTTCATTATTCAGGTTAATGAAAGAGGGGATTTCAAAAATTGGAAATATGGACAGTTTTTTTTTTTTTACCATTTCACAAATGTCACTCCAACATGATGAATGAACACAATAGCATATGGTAACACTAAAGAAGAAATTCTGAGATTTACCAAGTATCGATGTGATGTTTATATGATGTGTTCCTTCTCCGATTCAAGAGAAAGATGATGAGAATTTATGGTGGTGTTCATGTACAAAGTACCTGGAGGAGGAGTAATAATACAGAATTAAAAGCTATATATGGAGATCAAGTTGTATGTACCTTAATTAAGTTATCAAGGCTTCGTCAGGCGGTTCAGGTTTTTATGTTGAGCCAAATGAAATCCAATCTAAAACAAGTTGGATTTCCTTTCTTCGCTGAGAGCATGGGATGGCTATTGAAGCGAAGTCCATAATTGGTTTTTAGAAACTGCAAGGTAGCAGCAAAAAAAAAAAAAAAAAGACAATCTAAGATAGGTCAGGCTTTGAATCAATAACTGGGCCGTAACACTTGCTCATAGTAATAATAATTAATTTTGAGGTCTTTAAATATGAAGTAAATGACGTAAAAATGAAGTAAATCTTTTACTGTACATTTCATTGGAATTTCTTTAATTGACTCATTTTAAGTACTTTCTTCAAGAAGTAAAACTTTAGAACTATTTTTTTATACCTCTGTTGGAAACTATAATTAAAATATAATTTTGTGATTTATAACATGAACTTAGGAATCTTTTTTTTTTTTAAGTTGCCTGTTTTTACAAGTATATTCTCAACTTGTAGGCCTCCTCTAATTATGGGTGTATGGTCTAACTTCCCATGGGGACCAGCCGTCCTGAGAAGTAGAGTCTGGGATTCGATCCTATGATCTTCACTTTACTAGTACAGCGTTCTAACTACTCTGCTATAGCATACCCCAAAATTACGAGTAAACATTATCAAATATTATATAAATAATACTTACAAAACTCCCTAAACACATACTGGATTTAAATTATTTTTAGTACTTCTACTAGTCAGATTGAAGGTTTCAATAGCTCAAAACCTTTTCCGGACAGCACGAACCACTTTGCTAAACATGTCATACATTAGAAACATAAAACTTAACCATATTACATCACAAATGTAAGATGTAATACCATTTATATATGAACATCCTGACTATTTTTGAAATTACCATAACTGACTGATACACTCTAACTAAAGATTTGCTCAGTTTATCTCGATAGGTGTGAGCAAATATGCTATTTTTTTCTGAAGGTACTTTTTTTGTTAAGTTAATTTCTGTGTTCACCAAACCATTCATTTGTTAATTTTGTGAAGGAGTAAACAGTTGTTCATTATCCTTTTTATTTTAAAATATCATGAGCTTTAATTTATTATTTGGCCATTTAGAATGTTAAACATTGATGTTATGTCATTATTCTTTTAACATAAACAATGTTTTCCTTAACATGATTTAGATCTTCTAATCGATTTCAGCGATGTTCTTCAAATATGTGCCTTCGAATTAGGCCGAACCTATCTTCGTTTATCTCAAGCTCTCTGCATCAATGTTCCAGCATTAGGTGAGTTTTATTATTTAAAATTATCAGTGAAATGAATGGTGTGTGCTTAGATGAATTTATAAATTTCACATTGCATCATTATAGTGTAATAATTTTATCTATGTGGGTCAGAGGAATGTAGTAGGCTACCAGATGTAATATGTATTTTAAGTTATTTTATTATTATCTTTGCTCGTCAGCAATATATTTCAGCAGAGCCTCTCTATTCTGATAAACAAATTATTAGCTTATATAATTCTGTGTTTCACCAAGTTCCAGTTTATCATTACCATTCAATTTAATCCATTCATATAGTGGCCATATTGTTGAACTCACGTAGCAGACGTTGATGTAATAAACAAAAATACTTTCGACTGACCATTAACTTAAACTGCTTTATTTTTTTGTTAAATGTAAGTTTTATAATATTTCGAAAATTTCTTTGTTGTTTTTTACTTTCACTTACTTTTTTATTTCGCGAATCTCAGTTTTCAATGGAAATACATGTTTTGAGGTCCCCTGAGTCCAAATAACCAAGTGTCGCAAAATGGTCTGTGTGTGTGTGTTAACAGTCTAGCTCATAAACGAAAAGTAGTACGGAACTGATATTAAGTATTTAAGGTTTGTATATGGGACGGATGTGGCAGCAACTTTTTCGTTAAAATCGGCTAACCGGAAGTGCCACTATATATGAACGCTGAAACACATTTTTATAATTTTCTCAAAAACGGCTCTAACGATTTTGATTAAACTCGGTGTATCATTGTATAATTAAGTGGTCTTTAATATAATTTAGGTCTTATTCCCATTGATGTCACCTTGCAGGGCTTAAATAAATGTCCAATGTTCATATATGTCTTCCTCTAAAGTACCTTTCATATGGTTTATTTTAAAAAGTTAATCATTTCGCATTATTGAGAGTTACGAAAAAATGCTACATATAACTTTTGAAAGAATTTGATGAGTTAATAAAGGAGAATAAAAATTCAGAAAAACCTGCGTTGCTATAGACTGTAGCGCCTAAACGAATGTACCGATTTCAATGATACTTCGCTAAAGTCATTTTCTCGACACCCTTTAAATTTATCTATATAACATTTTTCAACGAAAAGAAGCTGGAAAAAAAGTTACGAGGGATGGTAAAATTAAATTCCGAATAACTCAAAAAGTATACACTTTTTTGTCGATATTTTAGATGATTTTTTAAAAGTTTATGTAATTTCCTAAAAAAACAAAAAAAAATCGGACAACTAGGAGGAAAGATATGTAGTCTTTTTTCCCTGAAGAGGCGACAATTTGGATAAATTAAAAATATACTTTTTTAATTGTTGAGACTAAAAAAACCTTTTTTCTACAGATATTTAATAAAGTATCTTTCCTAAGAACATCTTTCATAAGAAATAAGTACCTAAATTTATACCTTCATTCTCAGTTCAATATTTCAACACTGCAATCACCACCTCCGGAATCAACATACTCATTGTCTGCATAGATATAACTTTTTCAACTAAAAATATCACTAAAATGACATTAATCAAAAATGTTGAAATTGGAGTTAGTCATTCTGTGATATATAAAAGCAAAGAAAGTTGTGTGGTTTATAAAAGCAGATGGAGTGACTAGATTTTTATTGCCTACCGTCAATATATTAAATAGACATTTTGTAATTATAATGGTCTTAATGACTTGTTATCTGTAAGCTTTAAGCTTTAGCTCCATTTAAAATGCACTTCAAAACAATTTTATATTAGCCCAGCATTGCCAGAAAATAATTTCTATTCAAAGTAGAGTGGTAAATGAAAGTTGTCTGTTGCGCGCACCAGATTTTTTCACTAAAATTCGAGCCCAGGCTGGATTCGAACCAGCTTTGCTAGACTCGAGAATGTCAAAGTTTATGTTTGGCAATCACATCCTCTTTTGACTAAAATTAAGGTGAATGTCGATAGGAAACGATTTATTTTCAGTTGTTGAAGGTTTGCTTATATAAAGTCATTTTTACTTATAAAGTAAATCTCATTATTGTATTTCATAATTCCAATTCTTTTACTACTACTATTTCAGTAAATCTGTATTCGTCCGCTATTGCTTTTACATCCAACAGATGGTTCTGTTTAAAAACAAATATATAAATTTACATGGCGTGTTGTAATAGCAGGTATATAAAACCATGCACATATTCTAATGCAACATTAAGCCGAAATTTCAAAGCAATTGTAAAGAACATTCTGAAATTTAAGATTTTGAACAAATACTTAAATTTTTTATTTGACATAAGATAATTCAACATATAAGTAAACAACATATTAAATTTTATATATTAAATATATAATACAACATATTGAATATATAAAGGGCCAGTGTTTCAACTGCCTCCTGCAGTGCTACATCCTATGCCCTGAAGACGACCTGCAAAGTGGGTCGAAACGTCGGCAAAAATTAAATAATTACTATATTTTAATTTAGTATTTATTTGACCGCACTCCCCCCCCCCCAATTAACTTCTTCTCATATATGTTAAATTGTTTATACAATTTAACATATTAAAAACGTGTGCTTTTTATTTAGCCAGACTGAGCCACATTAACGCATGACCAGGTAAAGCTAGTACGAAAATGAGAATTTACAAAAATATCATCCTGTAAGTGTTCTTTAAAATAAAAAAGATCAAAAAAGAACAATACCTTAAGGCAATGGTTCTATAACTTGGTGTAGTGTCGTACTATGTGAGCAAGTACTGTTATAAGGTTCAGGATTGTACAGGGAGGTGATGGGGTTTATATCACGCTGAGCCGCCAAATGGTTTAATGTTTTTCCCCTTAATTAATTTTTTAATTTAAGGGTACCCACTTAATAGAGGCTGGGTGTGCCCCAGGAGAATCTCCTGACCCCAGGGTCGATCCACGGCTAAAGAAAAATTACTAGTCATTAGCCAGATTCGAACCTAGGACATTGAGCTCTGGAAGTCAGTGCTCACCCATTGAGCTACCCCACTCTTTTAAAAATAATAGAAACAATAAAATAGGTTGACAGATAGTAATAAAGGGCCAGTAATAAAGGATGGAATGCAGATAAAATGTATATAGAATGGGTGGTAGGCAAGTACCATCTCACTTAGCCCTTAGATGTAAGTCTAGTAACTCTCAGCAGTGAAATGGTTAAAAGCCGTATATATTTTTTGAAATTAACACTTCTGGCATATGTGAAAATTTCATTTCTTATTAGAAAAAATATCTCATTCCATTAGGAATTCTAGAGTTAACAGTCGCTGGAGAAGTATTGTGGTAGGTTATTAAGTCGATAGTAAGACTCTAACTTCAAGTTACCCAACTGGAATCCCCCAAATTTCATTCTGGTACTATGAACAGTACACTATTATTTACTCTATGGCATGTTAGCTGATTAGTTTATTCAATACTGAAATTTCTTATGTTATAAATGATAAATGAAATTATGGTATTAAAAGAAATAATAATGTTCTTGTAATGGTATATTTTTAGATACAGTCTATCACCTCTATGGTGGTAGTAATAAAATTTAAATTAAATTAAAAAACAAAACAGGAAATACAAACTCATTGTGAATATAGGAAGCACAAATTGATAAAAGCACCATATATAGTAGTTTTAAATGTCTTGGGTAACATCTTCCTTGGTATAAATTTTAATGACATTTAACACTCTTAGACAAGTTCGACTTAACAATCTACTTACTGCCCGTGCGAAAACAATTATACAATTGACATTTAAAATTAACATGATGGGGACGAGCCACACTATTAAATAGAAATAAAATAGGAACTTAAAAAAGATTTTTTTTTTAAATCAAAGAAACAAATACAACAAACATTATTACAACCACTTCTTTCTCAGTAAAAAAAATATTAATGTAAAAATAATCTCACTTTTTTTTTGTTTTAATTTCCTTTTTTAAATATATTTATAACCTTAACTTGTCCTTATTGATGAAATATCTCGATTCAAAACTCTTCTTGTTTTGATCGAATCGAATCGTTATATAAGTTAAAAACCATAATACTGTCTCCTAACTTTAAATTAATTAAAATATCAATTTAATATTTTCTTAAGTACAATCTATAAATTAAATATTGTAGGACTAGTCTAAACAATGCACTAACTTCTATATATAGATTTATATTATTTACATAAAGTAGATATACCCTATTAGGAAATTCTTAAAATTAAAAAAAAAAAAAATATTCCATTCATAAACTCTAGAAGTAATTTAAGCTTAAATAAACTTTCTATGCATTGGGGCATTACCCTGTCATGTGCTGTGAAATGGTAGAGCTAATAGTGAATCAGTCGTCTGTAGGGGGATTAGTTGGCCCATAAAATATGAGTTCTGGAATTTGCCCCCCTTGAACTCCAGTTCCATTAGTGCTTTCCGACGAACACTGGAACTGAAACGTAACACTTCCCACTGTCACTTCGGACATACCTTCCTGTCCGAAATATGACAGCTCTACTCCGTCCAAAACTGCTGATGCCGTATAATAAGATTCTGGTTCGATCTGAACCGGGTGTTCGAAGTATACGTGGAAAGTGTTTGATGATCCATCGGAAAAGAATTTCGTGTTGTTTTCAGCAAGAACCCTTCCGAGTCGTTTCAGTTCAATTTTTACTGAATAGTCCGCAGCACCGTTTGAAGATCCATACAAGCCAAATCCAACCATGAAGATTCTCTTATCAACAGAAAACTGAATTGAATCACAGCGCCCTCTGTATCGCCACTGGTTACTTCTATAAGCGCATGACTGAAACCTATGACAAACCTGTAACAGAAAATTTAAAAAAAAATCTATTAGTAAGCAGGAAGAGACATATGTTTGAGAATGATAATGAGACAGATTAAAAAATAATAAATAACTAAAAATAATAAAAAACAGTTTAAGAATGATAATGAGCAATGAATAGAATAAAAAAAAAAATAATATTATAGTAATAATAAATGGAATCACGATGTACCTGAGATTTAAGACCAGCTCTTGACTTGATGGGGAAGTTAAGAGAAGGTTTGACTAGTGCCGTAAAGTGTAGGAAAATGTCTATAGTCTCTTTTTGGGTGAGAAGTCCAGCTTGCGCAGGACCGTTAGCAAATTCGTCAAGGCTCATCGTCGGTATTCGTACTAAATGTAACGAATCTCCAAGGACAGCTCTTTTATTTCCTGGTGTTGGCTCAAGGTCTCTCCTTTGACATTCCGCTCCTGCCCAGGCCACCGCAGCTTCGAACAGATGAGTTTCTTTACAATTCAGAGTTTCTCGAGACAATACAGATGCCAAAGTAGTGCCGTCTATATCACAAAAGCCTTCAGAGTGTAGTGCCATCTCAGCCTATGAATCAAAATTTTAAATTAAAAAAAAAATCTTGGTTTACAAGTATTTATTATGTAAATTAATAATAAAATTGTTAATTTGAATTTATATTTTTTATAACAACTTTTTTGAACCAAAATATTCTTAGAACAAACATCTTAAATAACATCGTTCATTTTCATCAATACCTAGTGTGCTATCATTAAACAATTTAATGATATTGAACTTGCAATTTATGACGCATTAATTTTAAGTAAATAAGTATATGAATAATATATTTTCCATCTCTAGTTACCAAGCTCAGCACACCACTTACATGCAACACTTATAATCATAAGGCATTTTATAAAAACCAATATAGAAGCAATGGAAACGTTTTTTTTTTTTAAATATAAAAAAATATCCACTTCATGCAATAAAAAAAAACCCAGCATTTCTTTAAAAAAAAAAAAGAAAGAAAGAAAGAAAAGAAAACAATAGTCCATTTCACTATATTTCATGAACCTTAACTGCTTATCATTACGGAATTAATTACAATAAAAAATAAAATAAGTAACAAATTTCACATTTACATTCTCATATTTATGCATTTATAATTACAACATAAATAATCCAAACAACATTTAAGAGGCAACAAATTTCAGTCAAATATAGAATCAAGAAAATATTTATTAAAAAATATATTAAGCAGGCAATGTCGGTAACCCACCTGAACTCCTCTCTGCTTTCACTGATCTGTTACCTTATCACTTTGTTTGAATAAATCTTTTTTTTTTATTACTTTTTTAACAAAGCTGAGGGGCAAAGCTTGAAATTGATGGTGTGATCGAATACAGGTCAAAAATAAAAAAAATTACAAATTAAATTGGTTTATTGACTTCAAGCTGAAATACAATGCAAAATTATCTATACATACATATTTATATTTATCTATAGAAATGATAAATGCAAAAATATAAAATCACATAATGTATATAATATACAGCTATATATAAGATTTATATAAATACAATGAGAAAACAAATACTTCACATTTAATAAGATGTCAAATATTAACTTTATAATACTCATTAATTAAATTAAATATGAGCATTCATTAATTACTTAAAACTAGCTATAAATTTAATGATATCAGTCAGATATGAAATTTAAATTATTTACAATCATAGCTTAATAATAGTGAAATGGACTATACACTGATGTACAAAATGAGAACATTTTTTTAAAAATTCTCCATTCATAATTAATGCTTTATCAGTTCTGATTGTCAATAATAAATACTCCAATACAAAAGAGTTAATTATATACATAATATATCAATAGAAAAAATAAAAAATAAAATGATTCTATTACTACTATAATTTGTATAAATTAATATTATATATAAATGTGAATCAAGATAAAAACAGAATATAAAAAAAAGGACAAATTTTTAATAATTTAAAAATTAGGGAAATTTTAATTATTATAGAAAATGAAGACTGTATTTACTGAAAATCATCATAACTAATAAATAAACTAAAAATTATATACATGAAGAATAAACTGTTTAAATATTGGAATAAAATTAAATCAATTCAAATAACAAATTATTAAAGTGGCTTAAACCACTTTATGCAACCACATCAGTATCTTGAATTAATAACTAACTGCCTTGTGATAAAGAAGAGTAAAGTCGCTTTCAATGTTCTTGCATGTTTGAATAGGAAGAACTTTTTTTACGTTAAATTTAATTATAAAGGTAAATATATATCCAGAAATATAATATATTGGAAGAATGATAGAAATATTCCAATAACTAATTTATACATTGCATTATTGGTTTGCATTCAACTCTTAAGAAAAAGGTTTTCGTAAACTCTGATAAACAATTTTGAATTCCCTTAAACGGAGAACCTCACCATCTTAACTTCTGTTACGTTTTTCTCGTGATTGAGTCATATGTATTAAAAAACAATTTTTTTCTAAAGCAGTTCATACAGTACCAGTTAGATTACTTTCTTTCTTTTCTTTTTTTTTTTTTAATTGTGCGATTTCTCAATTTACTTCTCACTCAGAAATAATCAAAATAATTAGGATAATTAAGTGAATGAATAAGGCGAATTCAAGGACTAGAATTTTGAGGCTTTCAGCATTTTAGAGCATTTACTAAGATAAGTTCCTGACGTGATGGGGACTGACCTGTGCGTCTATTACTTCCCAGCAACGTTGCATAAGGTCTGGCTCCTCAAACAGCCGTGATTGTGACAGTAATAAGCAGGCATTTTTAGCAGTCAACGATGTTTCTAAATAAGCTACACAAGCTCGAGCCAAATGTGGGACGATATATTTTTTTGCAACGTATAATGTTGCTAAAACTGTGTCTGCTTCCAATGATATTTCATCACAGTACAAGTACCTAAAAAAAAATGATAACATATTACTTATTTAATTTTTTTTTTAACCTATAAGAAACTGGAATATTTGAAAAGTAAAATAAATAAAAAAGGGATATATAAGGTATCTTACTTCAGCATAGTGAGGAATGCAGAAGGTTCCACATCAGGCACTTCGATCTCATCTTTTGCTTCTGCCAATCCGCCATAGAACATGGCAAAAAATACAGAACTTCCAGTAGCCAGAACATATTTATGTGCAGGAATGCACTGAGTATGCCCTACAAAATATAGATTTATTTGATTAATATGTATTAAAAGGTGACAGAAAATATACAAAAAGTGTTGAAAAAATAACAAAATTACTGATTCATATGATAGTTCTACATATTGAATACAATGCTTTCTTATTTCTTAAGTTGGGGAAAGAAGGGAGCAGATAAGTCATTCTTCTCAATATGAAAATTAATTTCTTTTGAGATGCTTGGATTTTAAGTGTCATATCAAAAATTCAACATTATATGTCAGAAAATGATAAGAATAAAATGTAATACTTTGATAATATACCAATATAAGATGGTCAGATTACATTCTTATATTGGTAACAATATTACTATAAAATGTTTAGCAACGTTTATCAAGAATATTTAAAAAATTAATGAAAATGCACAAACCTGGAGCTCCAACGATGAAAGTGACATCTGACATTAGTTCATTATTAAACATGGCTGCATTTCTTTCCCTTACAGTAGGTTTACTAGCCTGCCAGTTAGGATCGAGAGTGCTTATTCCTGCTGGAGTGGAAGTAAGGGTAAACGTTGTTGTCGAACTGACAGCTGGATTGGGGGATGCCAAAGGAGAAACTGGGGCCGATGCGGGCTGGGTTATCATAGCTTCTCTTTGCGATATACCTTCTTGTGGTGGAGAAGATAGTCCACTATTTAAACTTTCAACTGCAAACGGAAAAAGATTACAAAATTAAACTCTTTAAAAATTAGGTAAATATTATAATTATTAACATTGCTTCACAAGGACAATAATTTTACTAGTTAACTACTTATAGCATTCGAATTCAATCTATTATTTTATCTTTATTATACCATGCATAGGGCATCAACATTGACATCCGATCTCAATATACTCGCCAGATGTTCTAAATGTTGAATACTAGGATGCTATTCTCCCAATGCTTATTTGACCTAATTCTACACTTCACTAGTAATTTTTAAAAATACTTTAGACTTACTACATATCAAAATCAGTTATTCATCATAAATATAAATGGACTGTACCTTATATGTTATATTATCTGATGTTTGAATATTATAAATAAATAATTTGAATATTGGGATTCGGTTTAGGTGATCAAAAAGCATTGTTTCTTTGACATCTATGCTTTACATTTTTTTCTGAAGTTTTGTTCAAAATAACAGAATATTGTAAGGAATAAGAAATGATGAAATCAATAGAACATAGGTAAAACTCTCTATTCAGGCCAAAAATGGCTTATCAAGGAAAAGTTTATCAATCAAGATTAGTATTGTTCACCTTGAGTGATACTTATCACATTTTTTAAAAATAATAATATAGATATTAATACTGGACAATATATTACTAGTTGAAAGTTTAAATGAAACTACAAATGATGAAATGTTTGAAGACAACATAAAAAAAAAAAAAAAAAAGGATTATCTTTTCACTTATTTATTTTCTTAGTATTACAATTTGGATGATAAATGATAAGGAGAAATATTAATCAGTTTACATTATAATATTGGTACTGCACATTTTACATGTTTTCAGCAATTCTTTAAATTCAAATTTGTTAGTTCCCTCGAAGGTTTAATGTAATTAATCAATACAATCAAAACAAGTATGATCTCATACCGTTCACCCATTGGTTGGACTGAGAAACTGTTAAATCCTGTAGTCTTTTAGCTGGCTTCGGTGCTATTTTTGAGTATAAATTTGACATAGCCATTTTTAAGGTTTTCTTATGTTGAACATTCAATGGAAAAACAAACTTGTTCTAATTCGTTCAATAAACCAACGCCATTGCTGCAATTGTAAACATCTGATGATAAAGATGTAGTCAGTGTAGCCAACGTTGAAATATTTTTATATTCCATATTTTTTTTTTTCAAACTTATTGTTTATTGATTTATTTTGCTGATAATTTAAGTAATATTATTTAGTAATATATGATAACTTTTAGAGCGATTGAAGTTACGTAGGTTAGTTTGTTTTAGATCTATAATTATATACAACGTGAACTTAGAGAAAGAGAGGGGGGGGGCGTGTTTGTTGAACTGGTAGCTTGTATTAAGGTTCTTTCTAAAGTTATTGTTTGATAATTATATTATTATTATCATTACATATAATTGGCATACACTTATATGTTTACATATGTATATTCAATGAAGGGCATGGAATTTTTATATGAATGAATAAATGATTTTTTTGCTTATAGAAACAATTTATAGCAAAGAGTTGGTTGTTTACCAGTTCATTAGTAATTATTTAAATACAAAATAATATAAGTTTCATCTTATAGATTGAATAAAATACATATAAGAATATTTACAAAATAATAATAAATAAACAAAATACTTTACATTTTCATAGTGGTTGAAATAAAGTAGAATGAAACTTAAGCTAAAAATTGTTAATGAAATATAGAAAGGTCATCTTTGGCCTTATACATTTTACAGAAGTTTTCTGATTTTTAGGCTACACAACATGGACTTAAAGATCGTTTTGATTTCTTATTCTTTTTCTTACGCGTAATGACGTATGTTAATTTGTCTATTGTTTTTTAAGCTGTGGATAACTGGTCTAATGAATCTGAAATTGAATCTTAAATAAAATAAAGAATAAAGTGGGATATCGAGTCTACTCCTTTATAGCATAGAGTGTACGGGATTATAGTACAAAGTGAAGAAGAAGAAAAAATTGTACATTTTATACAAGCAAAATATTGCTATTATATCAATAAATTAATAAACAAAAATAACTATATTATGTATAGATATTTTTTAATTAAGATAATAATTGTATTTTTGTTTTCTAACTTTGATTTTCCTTTGAAGATACGTGACCCAAGAGATGGTTTTCTATTGAAAATAGCACCAATCTCATTCAAAATCACATCTTATTCATTATTGTATATTTTTTGGAAAAGTGTCTGTCGTTGAAATTTTGTAAATTACATTATCTGATCATTTTAAGGAAGTTGAATTCTACGATCAGCTGTGGGATTTTTGTTTCTTATGTGCCGCTAATACTGTTTTATGATAAGTATTTTATTCTTAATAATGAACGGATTAATGATTGTCATGATAGCATATTGAATTCGCAATCACCCTTATCGAAAGTAATACAATATATATAAATATAATCATAGCAAATAAATAAAAGTTAGTAATTTTTATATGTTATTTGTTCTCATCGATAACTTACAGTTGTTGGATGTTAATTCCTCCTAATGTTCTTTGCAGTTTTCTGAAAATTGATTTAGATGGAGTAAAATTCAGTTGCACTTCAGGAGAATACTTTTCTTCATCTCAACTGTTCAAATACGGCCGTAGTTAAAAATAGATTCATAGGAGGGGGACTTTTTTAGTTCCATGAAAGTTATCTGTTTGTGTTTGGATAGCTCTACCAAAAATAATATTTGTGTAATATAGTGGTATTCAGTGACGTTGATATACGTGAACTAATTCTCAATCGATCAATATTGGGTTGGCAAATAATTCCTTTCGGTTTTTCTGTTTATTTTTATGTCACTATGATACACTTCTTATGTCATGAATTAATCCCTAAGGTGGTTTGTTTATCCTGTATGTAATATGTCAACAATTGTATCTGTTAACTCTTATGGAGTATGGAAAAAAATATCATTCATTGTTGTCGTGTTTTGTTGTATTATTTTTAAAAAGGTAAGCGTGCCTCAGAAGCTCATCGAAAAATTTGCAATGTTTATGGGGATGATGCCTTAACCGAACGCACCTGTCAAAATTGGTTTGCCAAATTTCATTCAGGAAATTTTGACATCAATGATGCTCAACTGTCTGGTCGCCCACATCAAATTGAAACGAGCAATGTTAAGGCCATTGTTGATCAAAATCCCACCTAATCAGTGCGAGAGATTGATATGGCCCTAAATGTGTCGCACACAAGCGTAGAAAACCATTTACACAAGCTCGGCTGTGTTTCCAATCTTAATGTTTGGGTCTCTCACTCTCTAACCGAAGTTAACTTGGCAACACGCATTTTTGTTTGTGATTCACTACGGAAACGGCAACAAAACAACTTATTTATGAAAAGGTTGGTAACAGGAGATGAAAAATGGATATTTTACGATAATGTAGTCCGTAAAAAATCTTGGGGTCCTAATAGTGAGGTTCCTACAAGAATGTCAAAATTCGGATTGGATCCACAGAAGATAATGCTTTCCATATGGTGGGATTTCAATGGTGTTATTTTCTATGATATATTACCATCAGGACAAATAATTGATTCAACTCTATACTGCTCACAATTAAAACAGTTGGATTGGAGCTTTCAACTGACTGACCGGAGTTATGTTTTTAAATGAGCATTACGGACAAGGTTCTGAACTTCAGCGCTTAGCTCATTAATGATATAATTTTGGCTAGTTTAGACACGGAAAAGATGCCATTGATGTGCTTAGTGCTGAGTTTAGGAATTGCGCTGTATAGAATTTAAAATGGTTTCTCATTGTAGCTTTTTTTTTTTTTTTTTTGAGTGGGGTAGCTCAGTGGTAGGTTACTGAGCTTCCAATGCTAAATGTCCCAGATTTTTAAGTCGTACAACGAAGTTTAGAATATACAAAACGATTATTCGGCCAGTAGCAACATATGCGTGCGAGACATGGACTCTAACAAAGACATCTGCTGAACGACTAGATCGGTTTGAAAGGAAAATTCTAAGACAAATAATAGGACCTAAACTGGAGAAAGGAGTTCCCCGCTTGAGAACAAACAAGGAGGTATATTTAATGTACGAAGATCTGTCTATCTTACAATTCGCTCGAGTGCAGCTAATGAAATGGTTAGGACATGTTCTGAAATGGATGAAGCGAGGACAGCGAGAAAGCTCTACCATGGGAAGCCAGATGAAATTAGGTCTGAAAGAATACAGAAAGCAAGGTGGATAAATGACGTGGAGGAAGATTTGAGAAAAAACATATCCATCAGGTGCGCACCCACAGGGATGACTGGACAAAGGAAATTGAGCAGGCCAAGGACCGCTACATACGTCTGTTGTGCCAATAATGAATGAAAGGCAGGGGTGGCCATCCTCCTCAAAGTGGATGGCGAAAAATCTCCCCCTCCCCCCTTCTCTCCAAGGTATTTTATTGCTCTCCTCTCCTTAAAACAGTGCATGATTAAGTAGAATGGAAAAAAATTCTAGCTCATATAAACTGTTTACAATTTTGGTTTATTATTTTCATTAATCAACCATTGTGATCGACCAAAAAATTCAAAAACTTAACTCCCTCTCAAAGTTTGAGGTCTCACGTTTCAGGACGCATAGAATTCGAAAAACGAATAAAATTCTTTTGTCCGTCCGCCGTCAGCGCATTTTCTCCGAAACTACTGGACCGATTTTTTTCAAATTTTGATATAAAGTCAGAGATCACCCGAGGATGATCCTCCTTCATCGACATTACTATCCGCTTTTTACTTTCAAAATGGCGGCCGAAAAACCTGCGTTGCTATAGACTGTAGCTCCTAAACGAATGTACAGATTTCAATGAAACTTCGCTAAAGTCATTTTCTCGACGCCCTTTAAATTTATCTATATAACATACTTCAACGAAAAGAAGCTGGAAAAAAAGTTACGAGGGATGGTAAAATTAAATTCTGAATAACTCGAAAAGTTTGTACTTTTTTGTTGATATTGTGATGAGATGTTTCAAAGGTATTTAAATTTTCTAAAAAATGAAGGAAGTTTCATCGAAATCAAAGCACTATTAGTAGAGATATCGCGGTTTTTACATATTTTTGGTTTATTATTTTCAATAATCAACCATTGTGATTGACCAAAAAATTCAAAACTTAATCCCCTCTCAAAATTTGAGGTTTCACGTTTCAGGACGCGTAGAAAAAAAAATCGTTAAAATCGGACAATTAGGAGCAATGATATGGTCTTGGTTTTTTTTTTTTTATATATTCTACTCCAAATGTTATATCCTTGGTTTGTTTTTTAAATTTTGAATATGTTACTGAACTAATGCTATTTATTTTAGCATATTACTAATGATTAAAAAAAAAAAGTTTAGTCCAATAATTGGAATCACCTTTTGTTTATTTTTCTTTGTAACTCGTAAAGTAATGTTACTATAGATGTATAATTGTTTGGAAATAATAAACCATTGTGAAATAATTTGCAGCGTTTTGTATTCTTTTCTTGGCTTTCTACTTGTCCCCTGGTTTGAAACTTTTCATTCCGAAAATTCATAATCCCATCAAAATGTACTCTCCTCCCCTACGAAAATTTTGGTGGCGGAACTTGGCCCCTTCTGGGCACCTCTGGATTAAGATAAATACGATTACCTTGATGTTTATTTCTCTGGAAATACAAAAATGTCTAAATAGCCTGTTTCTTATATTTTTGTCTTTGTCTGTTTGTGTTTCCGGTTTTTTTGAAGTGTGTAAATTTGACTTAAGCCTTACAGAATAAATAAACAGGTTGTTGACCTATGTATGCGTATGCAATAAAGACCTTTACCAGGCTGACGTACTTGTCAATGGAGGTCGCCGATTCTTTAGAGATAATATTTGTATTGATAAGATTATACGTACTCCAACAATTCTTTTAATTTTAATAAACACACTGATTTTTTAAAGATGTTATTACGAATGTTGTCAACTTTGTTTTGGATTTTTAATACGTAATAGAAAATTGACACTCGTTAATTATAGAGGCCGCTGGGTAGGGCAATCGCTTTGGTGGCGTCTTCCACTCGTAAGGAATTAAAAACAAAGCGTTAGATAATAATCGATTTCAGCTCATTAATAAAGCAACTTAATTCAAGACATATTGAATAATATAAAATTC